AGACAAGAGATCATGAGATATATCAACCATGTCCACTAGTGATAAATGTTAGGAAACTGGGTGCTGTGAGGAGCAACTGGAGCTGAGCTGGGGCTGGGTGCTGTTTGATAAAAGGCACAAGGAATTCCTATGTGGGGTGTCATGGGGGGGGCATGAGCTGAATGAAACGGAAGTGGGAAATCCCAGGAGGAATAGTAGGCTGGAAGACATGGAAGAAGGGTAGTTCTGGGATCGAGAGGGAAACAGGGTCAGATCATGTGGGCCCAGCAGCCATTACAAGAGCTCTTTGCATTTTATTCCATCACGAATGACCCCCCCCCCACCATACATGGTGATCAGGATTATTCTTGTTGCCACGTGAAAAAGCTTAGGCCAGAGTGAGAATACAAAGGAAGATGTACTAGGCAGCTTGAGAAGTTGATGAGGGGTGATGGGTACCACACTGATGTATATGACCAGGCCAGCCAATCAGATTTTAACTTCAGTCATCAGATGCCTTGCCTCTCATGTGTTCTGTGATATACAGGGTGGGTCCATCCACTAAGGACTGAACCTGATGTCAAAGGCGAGTGTTATAGGCTCTTTGATCCAGAATGTATCTTCACTTCTTACAGGTGATTGGGAACCTGTGGCTAAAAGATGCTGGCTGTGTAGTCACCTGACATGAGGCTACTTATATGTGGGTTTACTAGATGGTGATCTTCAGTGCCCCCTAGGAAGTAGCTTAGTAGATAGTCTTAATGGCTGCTGGGGAAAGGCCAACGCAGTGTGTCTGTTGTCCAAGTGATTTGTTGGGCCCTGTTTATTTCCTCCATGAATTGTGTTTGGTTGCATGGTTGGCTGACACCAATAACTATAAGAGATAGACGGAGGAAGCATGCCACTAATGGAGGGATGGAGGACCTTCCTGGGTAATCACTAGCTACTTCAACTCCAGAGAAAGAGCAAGGTCAGTGCTCCAACCTGCTCTCTACCCAAGTCAAGGGAAGGGACTATTTTCTTTAACCCTGGAAGCCCTTCAAACACCTGTTTCCTATGAGGTTCTGCAGATGGAACTGTATAGAAGCCTCATCTTCATGACTGTCTTGTCACTTGAAGAGTGTTGGGAAGCAGAAGGGAGGGTGTCAGAGGACTGAGACCTGGTTTTAACAAAAGTCAGAGGAGTAAGTGTTCATACCATGAGGGACAGCAAGCAGAAAAGCTCTACTCTTTTCCCAGAATTCCATTGGGCAAAGAAGTACAGAGGCTCAGCTGTTTCTTAGCAAAACCAACCAGGGGGTCAAACTGATGGAAGGTGGAATACACAAGAGTGAAGTCATGAGCAGATGCACAGCCTTGGACAGGCTCATAGTAAAAAACAGCACAGCACAGCAGAGCAGAGCTCCACACTCTTGCTTCTGGCTACCAGCATTCGTGCCTGGGATCCCTAGTACTCATTTAAAGTGCTACAAGGAAGGTATTTCGGGGGCTGGGGAGACGGCTCAGCAGTTAAGAGCATGCACTGCTCTGAAGAGGACCAACTTCAACCCCAGCACCCATGCTGGGCACCTTTAACTCCACTCCTTGGGAACTGATGCATCTATAAGAACCTGTACTCACATGTGCACATGCTCACATACAGAAAAACACATACATAATAATCAAAAAGCAAGTAAATCTTCAATAAAAGGCATTTCTATTGGGTGTTAGATACCATTTCTATGTTTGAAAAGAAAAACTGACCCAGACCCAGGATAAGAAGTGGCAGACTACTGTGTAGTGGTGGAGCATGCCTTTAATCCCAGCACTCAGAAGACAGAGACAGGCAGGGGAATCTCTGAGTTTGAAGCCAGCCTGGTATACAGAGCTAGTTGCAGGACTAAGAGGGCTGCACAAAGAAACCCTGTCTAAAAAAAAAAAAAAAAAAAAAAAAAAAAAAAAGTGGCATTTTCTCATGGCTAATGTCTTTCAAATATGTACCTTCTGGAGAATCAAAAATCAAAACATCTGTGTGTGTGTGGGGGAGTGGGGTGGGGGGAAGAGAGACAGACAGACAGACAGACAGACAGACAGACAGACAGACAGGTGTACAGGTATGCAATGGTGCACTGTGGAGGCCAGAGGACCACCTCAGGTGTTTATTTGGGACAGGGTCTCTTGTGATTCACCATTGTGTATGCCAGGCTAGCTGGTTTGTGAATTTCTGGGAGTCTCTCAGATTTGAGTCCCATCTGCTGTATACATGGGTTCTGGGAATTCAAACTGCTGTCTTCATGCTTGTGCCCAGGAAGACACTTTATCCGTAGGACCATCTCTCTTGTCTGGAATTTGGGTTTATTTCACCAATGGGTTTACTAAAACAAAAGGAAGGTGTTAGAATTTTCTAAGTCAAAAGCAACATAGAGGGAGTGGAGAGACATCAGTGGTTAATAGTATATCTGCTCTTCCAGGAGCCCTCAGCTTCAGGGATGTGATTAGGTCCTCTGGTCTCCACAGGCAACTGAACTCACTTCTCTCTCTCTCTCTCTCTCTCTCTCTCTCTCCCTCCTCTTCTCCTCTCTCCTCCTCTTCTCCCTCTCCTTCTTCGTTTGTTTTTGTTTTTGTTTTTGTTTTGTTTTGTTTCGAGACAGGGTTTCTCTGTGTAGCTTTGGCTATCCTAGAACTTGCTCTGTAGACAAGGCTGGCCTCAAACTCGGAGAGATACACCTACCTCTTCCTCTCGAGTGCTGGGATTAAAGGTATGCAGTGACCACTGACTGGCTTTTAAAAACACATTTTAAAAAAAGGCATATAAATTATGCTCAGCTTACAGTGGGATTGTGCCTCAATAAACTCATGATAAACAGGCTGAAAATGCTGTTAAGTTGAAAACGCAGTGGATGCATCGGGTCTCCTCCACACCATTTGTGACAATGTCACAGGAACAGCAGTGTCTGTGGTCTCCCCCACTGCCCAGCACCCTATTAGAGTCTGAGTGCACACTGGCAGCCCTGGAAAGGCTCAAAATCCACACTTCCCTGTAAGCTTCTATTTAGTGTGCACCATGTCTACACTGCAGCGAAGCTCCAAGTCCCCAAGCAACCATTCCAGGTTGGGGACCTTCTGCTCCCTGACATTGGCATTTTTATAAAAGGTATTAAAGGGACTGGGCACATCCCCCTTTGTTGTCAGTAAAGCACCATGGTATAGAATACAGTAAGTGCAGTTTTGCTTTATACTAAGCCCTATACTAAGCCCTTTCACACTGGGTGGTACCTGTACCTAGTCAGCATCACACATTATAGGTCTCTGTGGGCCCCAGGACTAGGGAGTGTCAACACAGGAAGGTTCTGGACCTTGGGAGGTGAGGAAACACCTGCTTACATAAGCCCAGCCTTTCAGGTTTTAGTCTGAAAGGTTTAGTCCCCTGAGGCCTTACTCTATTCATGTTCCCTGGGACTCCGAGATCACTAGTGGGCAGGGTTCTTAGGACACTGGACTGCCGGACATCTGAAAGAAGAGAAAGGCAGGCAGGCCAGGCAAGAGCCCTGAAGGCTGTGGGAGCTGTGGTGTCTGTTGCGTGGGGCCAACCCTGAGCACAGGGAGCCCCAGCATCTGGTGTGGGGCAGGGTGCTGCATGGAAGATGGTGCTGAGCACACAGGAGAGTACAGTGAGATCTCGGTGTGAAGAAGTCTAGTCACACCTCTGCGGTATCCCAAGTAGGACAGCATGAGGAGGCTCTATGGAAGAATAATGGCAATGGTTTGAAGGCAGCTGGGAGACTGCATGGTTTTGGGAAAACGCCGGATGTGCAGCTGTGTGTTAGCATTCCAGATCTGTAAGGACTGTGACTGAGGCAATTGAGAAAAGAAGAAAGGTTTATTTGGTTCACAGTGCTGGAGTTCTCAGGTTCTGTAAGGCAACTGGTTCTGGTGAGAATATGTGGCAGACAAATGTTGCTACCTT